GAGAATCTTGCTGTGATTTATGTCTGAGAGTGTTTTGCCTATATTCTCCTCTAGGAGTTTTATAGTTTCTGGTCTTACATTTAGATCTTTAATCCATTTTAAGTTTATTTTTGTGTATCATGTTAGAAAGTGTTCTAGTTTCATTCTTTTACAAGTGGTTGACCAGTTTTCCCAGCACCACTTCTTAAAGAAGTTGTCTTTTCTTCTTTCTATATTCTTGCCTCCTTTGTCAAAGATAAGGTGTCCATTGGTACGTGGATTAATCTCTGGGCTTTCTATTTTGTTCCATTGATCTATATTTCTATCTTTGTGCCAGTACCATACTTTCTTGATGACTGTGGCTTTGTAGTAGAGCCTGAAGTCAGGCAGGCCAATTCCTCGAGTTACATTCTGCTTTCTCAAGACTGCTTTGGCTATTCGAGGTTTTTTGTATTTCCATACAAATTGTGAAATTATTTATTCTAGTTCTGCAAAGAATAACTTTGGTAGCTTGATAGGGATTGCATTGAATCTATAGATTGCTTTAGGTAATATACTCATTTTCACAATATTAATTCTTCCAGTCCATGAACACGGTATATACAATGTCTCTGCTTTTTAATGTGCTGTCTAAGTTGGTCATAGTTTTTCTTTCAAGGAGCAAATGTCTTTTAATGTCATGGCTGTTATCATCATCTGCAGTGATTTTGAAGCCCAAAAAAGTAACGTCTCTCCCTGTTTCCACTGTTTCCCCATCAATTTGTCATGAAGTGATGGGACCGGATGCCGTGATTTTAGTTTTTTGAATGTTGAGTCTTAAGCCAAGTTTTTCACTCATCTCTTTCACTTTCATCAAGAAGCTCTTTAGTTCTTCCTCACTTTCTGCCATAAGGGAGGTGTCATCTGCATATCTGAGGTAATTGATATTTATCCTGGCAATAACTCTGCATATATGTTAAATAAGCAGGCTGACAATATACAGCCTTGACGTACTCCTTTCCCGATTTGGAAATAGTGGCTGATTACACATGTATTTATCTTGTATATCAAAAGATGTAAAAGATGTATATCAAAATATATATTAATGAGTGGATATATAACTCTCTTCTATAACAGAAGCCAGTAAATATCAATTTTGAAATTCATAACTAGTATAAAAATAAAATTATAAAATATATAATAAACTTAAATTTTGTAAAACTTGTGAATTTTGAATTTTTGTCAATGACATCTTTAAACCTCTGAAGGTTGAGGATTGAAGGGGTATAAAAGTTAAGAAAATTAGAAAAAAATAAAATAAAGAAATAAAGTATGTCAGTTATTACAAGTTTCCCAATGTCATTTTGCTTTAGAATAAAGACCATCTAATAACGTTTTAAGATATCTGAATTTGACAATGAAAACATCGTTTGTCTATGCCATTGTGTGTGAATGGTCATGATCATATTCTAGAGCTGATTGAATATAGTAATAAGTATGTAAAATGTAAGTATTCCTCCTGATGTCAGTGCATTAGTAGTTACCCTTGCTTAAGATCACGCATCCTTTTTTCCTTACAAGCCATATGAAAGACATTTAATTAGTTATCTTTCAACCTCTTGAGTTCTAATGCTATAACTTTAAACTCAAGAATAAGGTATTTTTCTTACCCTAACAGGTTCTATGGAGATATGATGGCAAAAACCCAAACACTTTAGGACCCAACACTAGTCTGTATAACCCAGGATGAACTTCTTAGTAAATATTGGCAAAATAAATGCTAAAAACATGATTAACAGCTGAGCAGAATGATAGTACTTCAATAAGAAACAAACTTATCAAGTGTTTATTATTAAAACATTCAGAAAGAAAACTTTACTTCTGTGTTTTTACTCCCAACAATAGAGGGGAGAAGGAAAATATATCATAGTTGGCACTATATTCTACCTGGCCATGTCCCTTATGCCCAGAATTAAAATATCTTCATTTTGCCTGTAATTGCTTCTAACAGTGAATAGCTTAATGGGTTATTGTTCTACCTCTGAATTCTTTCCTTACACCTATTGGTTCTCCTGTGTGGGAGTATTTTAAACACTACTGATAAATAACAGCTTCTTATTTACTACCAGTGACTCTCCATTTTCTACAGAAAAAAAAAAAAATCCACAATCATTTTCATGAAGTGGTAGCATGTTTCTTAATAAAATGAAGATTCTCCTTTCTTTGGTTCCACTGCCACTACAATTACAATTTCTGTGACCTTGACACCATTCTCATCAGATTAAATGACTTCTTTAATCTTTAAGAGAATATATTTCTGAATGCCCCCTTTTATGCATATGTGGTTTCCTTACGCAGAGAGTTCTTTAAGAAGTTCATCTACCAATCTTGAATTCACTTGTGAAGTTCAAGTGACAAAGGACTTCTTTCATGAAGTCTTCACTTATCTCTCCAGCAGACAGGACTTTCTGGCTGTGAGTCTGAAAGCAATTTAAATGCAGTTTCCTGTGTGTAACCATCTGTTATCTTTAAAATACACTGCTTTTTACAGTACTTTATAATGCCCATTTTTCATTTTATTCTGAATTATAATTAACAATTTTACTGAGAGTCACTCAATGCTAGGTAATCCAAAACCCCAAGGTTTTATAACTCACGGTGGAACCAACGGCACTTATGAGGTCATCTACCATGAGGTTCCTATGGTGGGCTTTTTGGTATTTGCTGATCAAGCTGATAACATCACCTGATGGACCACAGCACACCAGGCTTCCCTGTCCTTCACCATCTCCCAGAGTTTGCTCAAGCTCATGTCCATTGAGTCAGTGATGTTACCAATTTCATCCTCAGTCATCTCCTTCTGCTTTAACTCCTCACTGTCATCAGTAGGCAGATCGTTCAGACAAAAAATTCTATATGGCAATAGTGATCATAAATTATACAATTGACCAGTCAAATTTCATTGATATCTTTAGTATTGATGCATTACACTCAAAAAATCAGAACACACATCCTCAGTCTTTGCAGACTGCAGGATTTATGCTGCTTTTGCATTTTAATACAGAACTTTCCCAAAATAATTTACATTGGTTTGCAGTTGGTCATTTACTGTTTTTGCTATTTCTCTGAGGGACACAAATGTTGTGACCTCATAACCCTCCATCTTGTTGATGTCACCTTATCTCTAATTCTGTGTCACAGCAACTGCAGACACAAGAGTCTCTCACTTGCTTTTGTTTTACACTAGTCTTCTTTCTCATAAAATATAATTGATGTGTGTGTACAAGATGGGTGACAGCACTGACAAATCAATACTAAACACACTGTATAATCTCGAAGTGTTCTGCATTTTGCCTTCTAATTGGATTTCCACATGCTGACTGTTTATGTAATCTACATTTTTAAGGAATAGGGGTTATAATTTAACTTCTGGTTGATTTCTTCTGGATATAAGCCTGAGCAATAGCAAAAGTTTACAGTAATTATTTAAAAAGTACTACATATGAGCAAGATGTCTATGAAAGGGCTCTTGCTTCTGCTGCTGCTACAGCTGACTTCCTACTTTAGCTCTGGGAGTTGTGGAAAGGTGCTAGTGTGGCCAACAAAATTTAGTCACTGGCTGAATATAAAGACAATTCTGGATGAACTTGTCACGAGGGGTCATGAAGTGACTGTTCTGATATCTTCAGCTTCCACTATTACTAACTCCAGCAAACCATAGACTATGAATTTTGAGACTTTTCCTGTATCTTTAACAAAACATGATTATGAGAGTTTTATAGAACTTCTTGTTGAGAAATGGAAGGGTGTGGTGAAAGATTCCTTTTGGTCCTATTTTTCAACAGTGAAAAGTGTATTTTGGGCATTTTATGATGCTGCTTTAACTATGTGTAAAGACGCTGTTTACAACAAGAAATTAATGACAAAACTAGAGGAATCAAGGTTTGATATCCTTATTGGAGATGCCATTGGACCCTGTGGTGAACTGCTGGCTGAATTACTTAAAATACCATTCGTGTACAGTCATTACAGCTCACCTGGCCATATAATTGAGAAGAATAGCGGAAGACTTCCATTCCCACCATCTTATGTACCTGTTATGTTTTCAGAATTAAGTGATCGCATGACATTCATGGAGAGGATTAAACATATGCTATATACAGTTTATTTTGACTTTTTCTTCGAGGTACACAATGAGAAAAAGTGGAATCAGTTTTACAGTGAAGCACTAGGTAAGTTGGGCTTCCTGATAGCTCAGTGGTAAAGAATCTACCTGCCAATGCAGGAGACACAGGTTTGATCCTTTGTTCAGGAAGATCCCCTGGAAAAGGAAATAGCATTCCAATCCAGTGTTTTTGCCTGGGAAATCCCATGGACAGAGAAGCTTTTTGGGCTATAGTCCATGGAGTTGGAAAGAGTCAGTTACCACTTAGCAACAAACAACTAGTAAGTTATATTTTTAGTTGATTTTATTAAGTTCTATTTTTCCTAGTGCTGTGGAAGTTGAGTTTGTATAAATATAAATTCACAAAAATTTATCTCAAATAAGTGAAAAAGTGAAATAAAAATATAAAATGACCCTCAATCTAACAAATATTATGAAAACACTTAAATTATAGGGTAGGGTAAAGCCCATTACTAGTATTGGATACCAGGAAGTCATTTACCACAAATTGAAGTATCTACGACTTCTGCAAGTGACCATCCAACTTACAAAACTTCTTTTTTTAACTTAAAGTCATTAAGAATCTCATAAACTTTCTTGATAAATGAAGACATGTACATTGAGAGTTATACACCTATTTGGAGTACAAATATCCAGGTAGCTTTTAGAAACTGTTTCTACTTGTGTAGAAACAGATGTTTTCCAGATATATTTTATTATCCTAGACTATGCTATGTTATATATTTATCAAACAACAGACACATTAAAACATCTTTGGTCACAACATCCCAAGTTGTTTTACAAATATTATCTGATATACACACATGACAATAGTCTCATTTGATCAAACATTTGTTGGTTTTCTTTTTACTTTCAGGAAGACCTACTACCTTATCAGAGACAATGGGGAAAGCTGAAATGTGGCTCATTCGAACCTACTGGGACTTTTCATTTCCTCGTCCACGACTCCCAAATGTTGAATTTGTTGGAGGCCTCCACTGCAAGCCTGCCAAGCCCCTGCCTAAGGTCACCTACTGCTCCTTGGTGTTCTTTGTGAATGTTGTGTTTTCAATAGGAATCATTCTGTATTATGTCTTTGGAATGTTTTATTACAGGTAGTCAGATGTGGGAACCTGGATAAAGTGACCTTCCACCTAGAAAGTGATGTGTTTCTATATCAACACAACTATCTGAATTTCATTATTATTACAGAATAAACTAGAGTACATTGGACACTTTAACAATACATCAATTAAATACAACTTCATTATTCAACACATAGAGAAGCATCATTCATTAAAGAACACTTATAGTTATACTTTTACATACAAATATGTATTTTATATAAATAAAATAATAGTTACATTATCATCTGGTGATACCATCCAACCATCTCATCTCACTATAATATGATTCATTATAATTGTATTATTATTATCACAGGATACTTTTATATATAACATATTCCAGAAGTGAGTACAAACATAGATAAATGGTGTAGGCACAGTTTCTACCACCTGACAGTCCACCTGTACTGACAGAACACAATCAAATTGTAAAAAATATTATAATATGCAAAGACCAGAGTGCTAAAGAAATATTCAGTATGAATCATAGAAATTATCTCTGATTCATAGAAAATTATGAGATCTGAGGGATGCTCAGGAATAAACAGAAGGAATAGGGCAGGGCTGAAAGAAGATACAGTCTTCCCTCATAGCTTAGTTGGAAGAAGATATAAAAGAAAGGTAGGTGGAGTAGTAATGACAGTTGCCAAAAAGTCCAAGTTTAGTCTAGAGAAGAGAAGGCTGAGTAAAGAAGAAGATGATGCTGATGAGGTAAGTTGCAAACAGATAATTATAAAGAATTGAGACATCTAGTAGGAGCATTGGGAAGAATATTGAAAGGATTAAGAAAGAAAGAGATGGTGGTGGTGGTTTAGTCTTTAAGTCCTGTCAGACTCTTGCAATTCCATAGACTGTAGGCTGCCAGACTCCTCTTTCCATGGGATTCTCCAAGTGTGAATTCTGGAGGAGGTTGCCATTTCCTTTTCCAGAGGATCTTCCGAACCCAAGAATTGAGCCCAGGTCTCCTGCATTGCAGGCAGATTCTTTACTGACTGAGCTATGACAAAAGCACTGAGAAAGAGATAGTCATATATAATGTAAAAATAAAAAGCTAGGTGTAGTCACTGGGTTGGATTGTAAATGGTAAACAGTAGGATGAGACCAGTTAGCAGATTGTTGGTAGATACAGACAATATGAGTGAAAACTAGAGTACGGTGTTCCCAGAGATATCACATTAACTCATTTTTTTCTTTATTTTAAATTAATTAATTTATTTTAATTGGAGGATAATTACATTACTGTGGTGGGTTTTGCCATATATTGACATGAATCAGGATGATTTACTTTAAACAAACAAATTTAAATAAATCTCTGGGTTGGGAATAAAAGCATATATTTATATATACATTCATATACATTTATATTGTTGGGAAAAGGCATTTATTTTAGCTAGTGCACTGGCGAAAAGCCTTAAAACTTACAAAAATACTTTAGTATTTCATCTTCTTCATCTGATCACCAAAACCTTAAAAATTCATAACATTAAAAAAGTTTACATTAAATGCTGCTGCTGCTAAGTCACTTCAGTCATGTCTGACTTTTTGTGACACCATGAACTGTAGTCCTCCAGGCTCCTCTGTCTACAGGATTCTCCAGGGAAGAATACTGGAGTGGGTATCCATTCCCTTTTCCCGGAGATCTTCCCGACTGAGGGATCAAATCCTGGTTTCCTGCACTCCAGGCAGATTCTTTGCCATCTGAGCCACTAAAGAAAGCCCAAACGATGTTAAATTATACTAAATCAGATATAATAAAATATTTACTTGGAAAATACCAAATATAATGTTATCACAGTTTTCTTAAGGTTAAAAATGCATAAACTAGAATTACAATTTTTAAGATATATATCATAGTGTATATTTGAATATAGGAATAGAGTAAAGATTAAAATGAAAACACAAACTTTAGCATAAGTCTTCAAGGTCCACCCATGTTGTCAAAAAAAGCAGGATTTCCTTCTTTCTTGTGGGTGAATAACATTCCACTCTGAGCATGTGTGTCTGTGTGTGTGTGTTTATGTCTGTGTATATCTATGAAATATCTTTAAATAATTCATCCATTGATGGGCACTTAAGTTTTTTCCCTAGCTAATTGTGAATAATGTTGCAGTCAACATGGGAGCACATATACCTCTTCACTGTCCTGTTTTACTTTCCTTTGACCATATACCTGGAAGTAGAATTTCTGGATCATACAATAGACGTATCTTTAATTGTTTTAAGATCCTTCAATTTATGTTCCATAAGGGCTAAACCAATTAACATTCCCACTGAGAGTGTACAAGCATTCACTTTTCTCCACATTCTCACAACACTTTTTTTCTTCTTGGTTATAGACTTTCTAATAGGGGTGATGTAATATCTGATAATACCTGATTGTGATTTTGAAATACATTTCCCTGATGATTACTGATGTTGAGTATCTTTTCATATACCTGGTGATCATTTGGAAATCCTCTCTAAAGTGTCTATTTGTTCATCTGCCAATTCTTTCATTGAATTTTTTTGTATGAGTTGTGTATATATTCTGGGTCTTAACCCCTCATTCAGTATGTGGTTACAAAACTTTTCTTCCATTCTGTAGATCGCATTATCATCTTGTAGATTATTTCTTTGGCTGTGCAAAAGCTTTTAAGCTTGATATAGTCCCACTTCTGATTTTTTTTTGTTGTTGTTGTTGTCTTGATGTCATATAGAAAACATCATTTTCAAGATCAGTGCCAAGGAGTTTCATCCTTATATTTCCTTTTAGGGATGTTATGGTATCTGGTCTTATGTTTAATTCATTGAGTCATTTTGAGTTGTTTTGGTGATGGTATAAGATAGAGGTCTCTTTATATATATATATATATATATATATATATATATGTTTATCCAGTTTTCTCAGAAAAGAAAGAAGTGACTAATATTTCCACAATGGTTACTCTTGTCTCCCTTGCTCCCGTGTTGAATAGTAGTTGAACCCAGTATGCTGTTCCATGGTCTATGTGTCTATTTTGGGGCCAGTACACTATTATTTGAAATATTGAAATTTTATGATAAATATGAAATTTCAAGGTGTAATTCTTTTGGCTTTTGCTAATGTCAACATTTTAACAGTATTAGTCTTCTGATCCATGTCACAAGATGACTTTCCATTTATTTGTGTTTTCTTCTATTTCTTAAAACTTCTTATAGTTATCACTGTACAGATCTTTCACTTCACTGATTAAACTCATTTTTAGTTATTTTCTTGCTTTTGATGCTATTGAAAATGGGATAGTTTTTTTTTTCAGATGTTCATTATTAGTACACAGTAATGAAGTTGAATTCTATATAGTGATTTTATATCTTGCAACTTTACTGAATTTGTTGATTAGTTCAGGGTTTTTGTTGTTGTTGTTGAATCTGTGAGATTTTCTGTACAAAAAAAAATCATGTCTTATGTAAAAAATAAAAATCTTACTTCTTCCTTTCTATTTAGGATGTCTTTTATTTCTTTGTCTCACCCAGTTGCTCTAGCTAGAGCTTCTACTACTATATTGAATCAGTGTGGGAGTAGGCATCCTTATTTTGTTTCTGATTAGAGAAAAAGCTTTCAAGTCTTCACTGTTGAGTATAACATTAGCTTTGGGTTTGTCATATATGTTCTTTATTACACTGAGGTATGTTCCTCCTATACCCTATATGTTGAGGGTTTCATCATGAAAGAATGTCATATGCTGTCAAATGTTTTATGGACATCTATTGAGATAATCATGTTATTTCATACTTCATTCTATTTATCCTTGCATCACAGAAATAAATCTCACTTGATATTAGTATATAATTCTTTTAATGTGTTCTTGAATTTGGCTTGTTGATATTTGTTGAGAATTTTTGCCCAATACTCAGTCTGGATATTGACCTTAGTTTTATCTTCTTGTAATTTTCTTATCTATCTGGTATCATGATCATGAAGATGACCTTGAAGGAAGGGTTTGGAAATGTTCCTACCTTCCTCTTTAATTTTTAAAGATTTTTTTTAAGAACTGGCATGAATTTTTCTATCATATTTCATGGAATATGTCAGTGAAGCCATCAGGTCCTGGGGTTTTGTGTGTTGATAAGCTATTGATTACCAATTCAATTTCTTTCCTTATTAGAACTGTTCAGATTTTCTACTTCTTCCTGACTCCGTGTTGGTAGGTTTTGTTTCTAAGAAGTTCTCCACTCTTCTCATATATGTATTAATAATTTATTAGCTTATAATTATTCATGGTAGTCTCAGAATCCTATGTATTTTTTCAGTATCAGTTGTAATGTCTCCATTTCATTTCTAATCTTATTTATTTGAGTCACTTTTTTTCTTGATTAGCCCAAATAAGGTTTTCAATTTTGTTTATCTTTTTGACAAGACACAAAAGGACAAATACTGTAAGATGTCACTTGTATATGAAATCTAAAAATGCTGAACTTGTAATAACAGAGAGTAATATAGTGGTTGCCAGGACTGAGAGGTGGAAGAACAGGAGAAATGTTGTTTAATGATACAAATTTGCATTTCTTAGCAAATAAGTACTAGAGATCTAAGGTACAGAGTAGTGAATATGCATACATGCCCAGTCATGTCTGACTCTTTGCGACCCTGTGAACTATAACCAGCCAGTCTCCTCTGTCGATGGGATTTCCCAGGCAGGAATATTGGGGTGGATTGCCATTTGAAATTTGGAATTATTCTGGTATAGAAAGTAACTTCTTTTTAATCAGAAAGGCTCAAGGACCACAAAGCAAAATAATTCAGAAACGATTCCAGGCAAATACGGATTCACCAGGAGCTTTATTTAGGTAGAAGCGAATTTCTCAAAAGCTGGCCAGACCTGTGCTGCAGAAAGCCCTGGACACCTCTTCCTCTGTGGAGCAGGTGCCCCCAGGGAAACTCATTGAAGTCATGCTGAAGGTCCTTCACTGCAGTTAGACATAGCACATCCATCTGTGACATTCATTATACAAGTTCAAGACAAAGGTATCATATGTAAAGAAACACAGCAGTATGGTCGCTCAAATAAGTAACTATACAAGAGTAACTTCAGAATATAAACAGAACTCATAGAACTATTTCATAGAACATCCAAGCTATAATAATTGACTCCTCAAGTCAGTAGTTAGTGATTTAGACAGAGAGTTTGGAAATCATGACAAAGTTTAAGGTGAAGGATAGGATTACAGAGGTGAATGAATGACATAAAGTGATTAGGATCATATTTTTTTTTTCATAGTTCTCATAGTCAGGAAATGAAATATTAATGAATAACCTAAAATAATTCTCAGAAAGCCTATCTGGAATAAATAAATGATTTAGTAGAATTATAACAATGAAGAACCAAAGGGAGTTGAATCCTGCAAGTAACTTCCTTCAAAGAATCAATGTTAGTAATTAACATTATGATTAATGAACAGTCTGAGGATAATATAGCTTAATAGTATATTCTTTTCACTACTGAGTACTGGCTCTATCTTATTTCCTGCTTATACAGAAACACATTTGCACAAATATATATAATGGAAGAAATGACTTCATATCACCCATTCCTTTCCCAGGATCTCAAGAAAGAAAAATCCTTTTTTTTTTTTTTAATGTTCCTTTTTTAAAAAAGGAACATTTTAAAAAATAATATGAAGTTCTGCCAAAAAAATTTTTTTAATGATTTTTTATTGCTGAATATTTATTAGCACAACTGACCAAAGTCCAAGAGGTGAAGTTAACATGTTCAAGAGAATTGGGGGAGTAGGGTGGGTGAGGGAGGGAAATCACTCTATTAGCAAACTGTATAGTATGTCATAAGAATAATGTGCACTTTCAAATATAAACCCTGTCTATGCATAGAGATCAGCAATTCCTTGTCTCGGTTTATATCCAAAATAATTGAAATTGGGATCTCAATGAGATATCTGTACAACATATGTATGAAAGACCTATTCAAAGGAGCCAAGAGGTTGAAGCAACCCAAATGTCCATCAACAGAGGAAGCAATAAACAAAATGTCATATATACAAACAATGGAATATTACTCACCTTTAAAAGGAAATTCTGACACATGTCACAACATCAATGAACCTTACACTAATGGAAAATAACTAGTCAGAAAAAGACAAATAATGTACAATGCAACTTATAAGAAGTATCCAGACTAATCTCACTTATATAAACAGAGGAGAATGAAACTTGACAAAGGGTAGAGAAAGAGGAAAGTAGCGTTTCTTAATGATCATAGACTTCCAGTTTTGTCCAATGAAAAAGTTCTGGAGATTGGTTGCACAATGTGAGTATATTTAACACTAATATGCTATACACTTAGGAACAATCAAGAAAGCTAATTTTATGCCATGTGTATCTTACCACGATATATTTGTAAGAAATCACTACTCTAGTATCTTGAGACAATTTCTGATTTTCTCTCTTTAGTTGCTTCTAGCAATTCCTTCAATAATGTGTGCTATGCTGCTGCTTTTTGTGATGGGGCAAATTCTTTTTTCACAGGAAATGGAAGAGTTTGTGCAGAGCTCTGGAGAAAATGGTATTGTGGTGTTTTCTTTGGGGTCAATGGTCAGGAACATGTCAGAAGACAGAGCCAAGGTGATTGCATCAGCCCTCGCTCAAATTCCGCAAAAGGTAGATACAATAACTTAATCATGGACAACTTCTTAATGAGTCTGTTAAACTCTGTAAAGATCTGATTTTAGACATTTACTATCAGAAAGGTAAATAATGTGATAGCAGTAATTTATCTCATATCTATATCTATATCTATCTATCTATCTATCTATATATGGGAACCCACTCCAGTATTCTTGTCTGGAAAATCCCATGAATACAGGAGGCTGGAAGCTACAATCCGTGGAGTGGCAAAGAGTTGGACACGACTGAGTGACTTCAACTTATCTTACCTTACCTACCCTTCTTTAATGTCCAACTCTCATATCCATACATGATTATTGGGAAAAAATATAGTTTTGATTACATGGACCTTTTTTGGCAGAGTGATGTCTCTGCTTTTAATACTCTGCCTTGAATTGTCTTGGTTTTTCTTCCAAGAAGAAAGTGTCTTTCCATTTCATGGCTGCAGTCACTATCCACAATGATTTTGGAGCCCAAGAAGATAAAATATGTCACAGCTTCCACATTTTCCCCATATATTTGCCATGAAGTGATGGGACCAAATGATGCCATGGACTTATTGTTTTGAATGATGAGTTTTAAGACAGCTTTTTCACTCTCCTCTTTCACCCACATCAAAGTCTCTTAGTTCCTCTTCACTTTCTCCTATTGGAGTGGTATCATCTGCATATGTGAGGTAGTTAATATTTCTTCCAGCAATCCTGATTCCAGATGTGAGTTACCCAGCCCAGTAGTTTACATGATGAACTGTGCATGTGTAGGTTAAATGACCAGAGTGACAATATACAGCTTTTCTGTATTTCTTTCCCTATTTTGAACCAGTCTGTTGTTCATGTCTGATTCTAACTGATGCTTCTCGACCTGCATACAGGTATCTCTGGAGGCAGGTAAGGTGGTCTGGAATTCCCAACTCTTTAAGAATTTTCCACAGTTTCTTGTGATCCACACAGTCAAAGCTTTAACGTAGTCAATGAAGCAAAAATAGATGTTTTTCTGGAATTCTCTTGCTTTACCTATGACCTAATGAATGATGGCAATTTGATCTCTGGTTCCTCTACCTCTTCTAAATCCAGATTGTACATCTGGAAGTTCTTGGTTCATGTACTGCTCAGGCCGAGTTAAATAATTTTTGAGTATAACCTTGCTAGCATGTGAAAAGAACATAGTTTTACAGTAGTTTGAAATTCTTTGGCATTATCCTTCTCTGGGTTTCGAATGAAAACTTGCCTTTTCCAGCCCTGTGGCCACTGCTGTGTTTTCCAAATTTGTTAGCAAATTGAGTGCAGCACATTCACAGCAACATCTTTTTTTTTCCATTAGTTTGTATTAGTTGGAGGCTAATTACTTTACAATATTGTAGTGGTTTTGGCCATACATTGACTGAATCAGCCATGGATTTGAAATACCTCAGCTGAAATTCCACTAGGTTTCTTCATAGTAATACTTCCTAAGGCCCCATTTTCTTCACACTCCAAGATGTTTGGCTCTAGGTGAGTGACGGCGCCATCACGGTTATCCACGCTATTAAGAACTCTTTTGTATAGTTCTTCTGTGTATTCTTGCCACCTCTTCTTAATATCTTCTGTGTCTGTTAGGTCCATACCATTTAAGTCCTTTATTGTGCCCATCTTTGCATGAAATAATCCCTTGGTACCTCTAATTTACTTGAAGAGATCTCTAGTCTTTCATATCCTATTGATTTCTCTTTCTTTGCATTGCTCATTTAAGAAGTCCTTCTTATCTCCCATTTTAATCTCTGGAATTCTGCATTCAGTTGAGTATATCTTTTTTTCCCTTTCTCCCTTGGCTTTCACTTCCCTTCTTTTCTTAACTATTTATAAAACCTCCTCAGATAACCACTTTGCCATCTGGCATGTCCTTTTCTTTGGGATTGTTTTGATCACTGCCTCCTGTACAATGTTACACGCCTTTATCCACAGTTCTTCAGGCACTCTGTATATCAGATATAATCCCTTGAATCTATTCATCACCTCCACTGTGTAATTTTATGGGATTTGATTTCTGTCATACCTGAATGGCCTAGCAGTTTTCCTCACTTTCAATTTAAGCCTTTCTTCAATTCAAATCTGAATTATGCACTAAGGTGCTCATGATCTAAACCACAGTCAACTCCAGGTCTTCTTTTGCTGACTGCATAGAGCGTCTCCATTTACAGCTGTAAGGAAAATAATCAATCTGATTTCGGTATTGACCATCTGGTGATGTCCATGTATAGAGTCATCAGTTGTTGGAAAAGGATGTTTACTATAACCAATGACTTCTCTTGATTAAAGTCTGTTAGCCTTTGCCTGCTCCTTTTAGTACTACAAGGCCAAACTTGACTGTTATCCTATATATCGCTTGACTTCTTACTTCTTACTTCTTTCTTATGACAAAATTAGACAGTGTATGAAAAAGGAAAGACATCACTTTGCCCAGAAAAGTCCATATAGTCAAAGCTATGGTTTTTCAGTAGTCATGTATGGATGTGAGAGCTGGACCATAAAGAAGGCTGAGTGCCAAAGAATTGATGCTTTTGAATTGTGGTGCTAGAGAAGACTCTTGAGAGTCCCCTGGACTGTAGGATCCAACTGGTCAATCCTAAGGAAATTGACTTTGAATATTCATTGGAAGGACTGATGCTGATGCTGAAGCTGCAATCACTTGTCCACCTGATGCAAAGAGATGACTCATTGAAAAAGATCCTGATGCTGAGAAAGATTAAGGGCAGGAGGAGAAGGGAGTGACAGCGGATGAGTTGGTTAGATAGCAACACTGAATCAATGGATATAAATATTTGAAAATTCTGGGAGATAGTGAAATACAGGGAAGACTAGCATGCTGTAGTCCATGCAGTGAAAAGAGTTGGACAAAACTTAGTGACTGAAAAGCAACAAAACAGTTTTTTAAATATTTGAGGTGGTCATTGAAAATCTCACTTGTCTGTGCCATCATGTGTACACAATTAACACATCAAACATAGGTATTCCTATTTATGTCTTTGTATTAATAGTTACCATTACTTAATATGTCTTCATATCCTTACATGTCATGTGAAGGACATGTAATTCTATGTATTTGAGTCAATTTAGAAATTATTAGTACAACTTTGAAGTTCAACTCTCATAATAAGGTATTTCCTTTACCTTTAACAGGTTCTATGGAGATATGATGGCAAAAAACCAGATACCTTAGGACCCAACACCCGGTTGTATAAATGGCTCCCCCAGAATGACCTTCTTGGTGAGACTTGTCAGAACAAATAATGAAAACATGAGTAACAGCTGAGCAGAGTGAGAGTGCTTCAATAGGAAATACACTTACAAAGCAATTATTGAAACCCTGAAAAAGAAAACTTTACTACTTTATATATATATATATTTGCTATGGGAAAAAGGGAGAATATATAAAAGTTGTCATTTTATTGCACATAGTCACATCCCTTACAGCCAGAATCTTTACTTTAACTGTAATTGCTTCTCACCGTGAACTTTTTGATAACTTCCTGGATTGTTGTTCTGTCTCTGAATTTTTTCCTTATACTTATCTTTTCCATTCTGTAGAAGTATGTTAAATGCTACTAAAAATAAGAACTCTCCTGCCATTACCAGTGACTCTCAATTTTCTGTAAGAAAAAATTCACAATCATTTCTGTGAAGCAATAACACACTTCAAGATAAAATTTAGCTTTTCCTTTCTCTGGTTCCAGTGCCACTAACATTATGCTTCTTTCCCCCTGATATTCATTCCTATCGAAATAAATGACTTCACTATACCTCTAGGAGAATAAATTCCCGCATGCCTTCCTCTTTGCACATGTGGTTTCTTTTACACAGAATGCTCTTTCAAGTTTTTCACCTGCCAATCCTGGATTCATTTGTAATGTTCAAGTGACTCAGTGCCTCTTTCACAAAGTCTTCATTAACCCCTTCAGCAGACATAGCCCTTTCTTCTCTGAGTTCTGAAAGCAAGTTAAAAGCACTTTCATATGCATAATAATCTGTTATCTTAAAGATACTGCTTCCTCCAGTGCCTCATAATACCCATTTCTCATTTTATTCTGAGTTATAGTTAACAATTTTACTGAAATCGACTCAATCCTAGGCCATCCAAAAACCAAAGCCTTCATAACTCATGGTGGAAGCAATGGCGTTTATGAGGCCATCTATCATGGGATCCCTATGGTGGGCACTCCTTTGTTTGCTGATCAACCTGATAACATCGTTCGAATGAAAGCCAAGGGAACAGCTGTCAGGTTGGACTTGGAAACAATGTCATCAAGAGATTTGCTCAACGCATTGAAGGAAGTCATTAATAACCCTTCGTGAGTACATATATCAGTTCAGTTCAGTTCAGTACATATATATATATATGTTTGTTTGTTTGTTTGTTTGTTTACTAGCTAATCCTTCCAGAGAAGTTCTCATCTGAAGATCGGGGAGGCAGCCATGAGTCTTCACATAAGCACAATGAGGTATAAGATTTGTTCAATGCTTTGAAAACAGACAATAATAATGGGTTGTGAGTGTCACATTAAGATTTTTTCATGGTTTTATGGAAAAGTTTTGTCAGTGGTTTAAAGATAGTGGAGAAATTTTGAAAAACTTAATCATTAGAATGCGAAGAACCACTGAAATGGTAATAGAAGGATTAAGAAGCACTGAGAACAGTTACTGTAGGGAACTGAAGGGTTGTTGCTGAATGATAAGATGCGGGATTCTTGGCCTCCAGAGGAGACGAATTCAATCCGGGGCCAGAGACTAGGCTGGATCACTCAGAGCTTTTGTGTAATAAAGTTTTATTAAAGTATAAAGGAGATAGAGAAAGCTTCTGACATAGGCATCAGAAGGGGGCAGAAAGAGTATCCCCCTCCTAGTCTTTAGCTTTCAGTTATATAGTCACTCACAGTCTGTTAATGAAAAGAAAGCAATGTCTTAAAATTTAGAATGGCACCAGATAATTCATCCCTGGCCATAAAATGATTGACTTGAATCTGGTAGAAGGGCAGATTCCCAAACAAATAGTTTCATTTACACGGATTAGGGGAACAATGTCTGAGTAAGTAGGTTGGGTCATTTGGCAGAACTTACAGAGTCTGGGGTAAATTAACATATCTTAAGACAAACATTTCCATAAGAAAAAAATGTATTGGTTAACTCAAGGTTTGAGTCTAGTTAGCCTCAGGTGAAACCAGGTGTCATGGCAACACAGCATTTTAAGGGAAACCTCCTTTTAAATTTGTATAGAGAAGAAAAAAAATCGCTGGTTTGTTCCTCCTGCTGTTTAAGAGAGATAAAAATGTCTGACACTTGCAGCCTATTTCCTCCATATGGAGACCCTTGGCCTTTCTGCCTGTTACGCTCTCAGAACCATGAATGCTGTGGTTCCTCATCTGCCCACTCTACTCTCTTTCAGCATGTGAACTTCTCAAAGGTTTTAAACTCTTAAAAGATGGTTTATTTTCAGTAAACCACCATGACATAATCCATTTCAAATTCTGATTACATTTAATATTTTCCAAGTTTTCTATGCTAATATTTTGACTCCATCTCTGATAAAGGATAAACAGCTATAACTTTCTAATTACCCAGTTTCAACTATGCATATACTATTTATGAAGGTGGATATATTCTTGGGCTTTTTTTACTGTGGTCATTTTGTCTTGTTTGGAGGAATTATAAAATCGAAACATAATTGACTTGGGAGGAGTATGTTGAGGTGAAAAAGTGGAAGTGTTGGTTTCTCAGTTGTGTTCGACTCCTTGGGACCCCATGGACTGTATCCCACCAGACTCCTCAGTCCGTGGAATTTTCCAGGCAAGAACATGGGAGTAGGTAGCCATTCCCTTCTCCGGAGAATCTTGCTGACCCAGGTATCAAACCAGGTCTCTGCATTGCAGGCAGATTCTTTATATCTGAGCCACCAGGGAAGCCCATATGTAGGGATATTCCTTTTTTTAAAAACGCTACACAATTTTTAAAGGTTATTTTCCATTTAAAGTAATTACCAAATAGTGGTTAAATTTCCAGTGTGGTACAACACCTCCTTGAGCTTATATCATTCCCAATAATTTTGCCTCCTACTCCCCCACCCATGTGTTTCTACTCCCCCAAATCTGGTAACCAATAGATTGTTCTCTATATCTGCTGCTTCTGCTGCTAAGTCTCCTCAGTCATGTCCGACTCTGTGTGACCCCATAGACCACACCCCACCAGGTTCCACCGTCCCTGTTAGTCTCCAGGGAAGAACACTAGAGTGGGCTGCATTTCCTTCTCCAATGCATGAAAGTGAAAAGTGAAAGTAAGTTCACTCAGTCGTGTCCAACTCTTCGCGACCCCATGGACTGCAGCCTACCAGGCTCCTCCATCCATGGGATTTTCCAGGCAAGAGTACTGGAGTGGACTGCCATTGCCCTCTCTGCTATATCCACTAGTCTGTAATAATATTTTGATCCCATCATTGATAAATGGTAAGCAACTAGAATTTTCTAATTTACTCAATTACAACTATGTAGATACAGCCTATTAATTTAAGTTTATTCAGAGTTCTTTTATTTGTGCTCGTTTTGGTCTTATTTGGAATAGATAGTTATGTTGGGATATCCCTATTTCAAAGCCACATTTTCTGAAAAGAGAAATATTTGCTTTCCAAATCACTTCAGGATATACATGAATTTCAATGACACAATTATATTAATATCACAAATATGATGTATATATCCCCTTTTTTTATCATAATGACTTTGTAAAGAAAATGTTTTGTGAATGTGTCAGTAATGGCAGCAAAATGCATTTTGTGTTTTATAAGCAGTGTTATTTTAATTTAATTTTAGTACAGTGATTTTCTTAAGTGAGCAGCATAAAAAGCACTATTTTTCTCTTCTTTTTAAATTTTCTTCTTTTACTTTTTCCCAGTTATTTTTATTAGTTGGAGGCTAATTACTTTACAATATTGTAGTGCTTTTTGCCATACATTGGCATGAATCAGTCATGGATTTACATGTGTTCCCATCCTGAACCCCCCTCCCGCCTCCCTCCCCATCCAATCCCTCTGGGTCATCCCAGTGCACCAGCCCCGAGCACTTGTCTCATGCATCCAACCTGGGCTGGCAATCTGTTTCACACTTGATAATACACATGTTTCGATGCTGTTCTCTCAAAACATCCCACCCTCGCCTTCTCCCATAGAGTTCAAAAGTCTGTTCTATACATCTGTATCTCTTTTTCTGTCTTGCATATAGGGTTATCGTTACCATCTTTCTAAATTCTATATATATGTGTTAGTATACGGTATTGGTCTTTATCTTTCTGGCTTACTTCATTCTGTATAATGGAATCCAGTTTTATCCACCTCATTAGTACTGATTCAAATGTATTCCTTTAAAAGGCTGAGTAATATTCCATTGTGTATATGTACCATAACTTTCTTATCCATTCATCTGCTGATGGGCATCTATGGTGCTTCCATGTCCTGGCTATTATAAACAGTGCTGTGATGAACATTGGGGTGCTTGTGTCTCTTTCAGTTCTGGTTTCTTTAGTGTGTATGCCCAGGAGTGGGATTGCTGGGTCATATGGCAGTTCTATTTCCAGTTTTTTAAGGAATCTCAACACTGTTTTCCATAATGGCTGTACTAGTTTGCATTCCCACCAACAGTGTAAGAGGGTTCCCTTTTCTCCACACCCTCTCCAGCATTTATTGCTTGTAGACTTTGGGATAGCAACCATTCTGACTGGCGTGTAACAGTACCTCATTGAGGTTTTGATTTGCATTTCTCTGATAATGAGTGATGTTGAGCATCTTTTCAGGTGTTTGTTAGCCATCTGTATGTCTTCTTTGGAGAAATGTCTGTTTAGCTCTCTGGCCCATTTTTTTTGATTGGGTCATTTATTTTTCTTGAATTGAGCTGCAGGAGTTGCTTGTATAATTTTGAGATTAATCCTTTGTCTGTTGCTTCGTTTGCTATTATTTTCTCCCATTCTGAAGGCTGTCTTTTCACCTTGCTCATAGTTTCCTTTGTTGTGCAAAAGCTTTTAAATTTAATTAGGTCCCATTTGTTTTTTGTTTTTTGTTTTTTTTTTATTTCCAATATTCTGGGAGGTGGGTCATAGAGGATCCTGCTGTGATTTATGTCAGAGAGTGTTTTGCCTATGTTCTCCTCTATGAGTTTTATAGTTTCTGGTCTTACATTTAGGTTTTTAATCCATTTTGAGTTTATTTTTGTGTATAGTGTTAGAAACTGTTCTGGTTTCAATCTTTTACAAGTGGTTGACCAGTTTTCCCAGCACCACTTGTTAAAGAGCTTGTCTTTTTTCCGTTGTATATTCTTGCCTCCTTTGTCAAAGATAAGGTGTCCATCGGTATGTGAATTTATCTCTGGGCTTTCTATTTTATTCCATTGATCTATATTTCTATCTTTGTGCCAGTAGCATGCTGTCTTGATGACTGTGGCTTTGTAGTAAAGCCTGAAGTCAGGCAGGTTGATTCCTCCAGTTCCATTCTTCTTTCTCAAGATTGCTTTGGCTATTCGAGGTTTTTTGTATTTCCACACAAATTGTAAAATTATTTGTTCTAGTTCTGTGAAGAATATCGTTGGTAGCTTGAAAGTGATTGCACTGAATCTATAGATTGCTTTGTGTAGCATATTGTGTTTTCACAATATTGATTCTTCCAATCCATGAATACTGTACATTTCTCCATCTATTTGTGTCCTCTTTGATTTCCTTCATCAGTGTTTTATAGTTTTCTATATAGGTCTTTTGTTTCTTTAGGTAGATATACTCCTAAGTATTTTATTCTTTTTGTTGCAATGGTGAATGTTATTGTTTCCTTAATTTCTCTTTCTGTTTTCTCATTCTTAGTGTACAGAGATACAAGGGATTTCTGTGTGTTAATTTTATAATCCTGCAACTTTTCTATATTCATTGATTAGCTCTAGTAATTTTCTGGTAGAGTCTTTAAGGTTTTCTATGTAGAGGATCATGACATCTGCAAACAGTGAGAGTTTTACTTCTTCTTTTCCTATCTAGATTCCTTTTATTTCTTTTTCTGCTCTGACTGCTGTGGCCAACACTTCCAAAACTATGTTGAATAGTAGTGGTGAGAGTGGACACCTGTGTCTTGTTCCTGATTTTAGGGAAAATGCTTTCAATTTTTCACCTTTGAGGATAATGTTTGCTGTGAGTTTGTCATATACAGCTTTTATTATGTTGAGGTATGTACCTTCTATGCCTGCTTTCTGGAGAGTTTTTATCATAAATGGATGTTGAGTTTTGTCAAAGGCTTTTCCTGCATCTATTGAGATAATCGTATTGTTTTTATCTT